ATAACATTGGGCTGTACTCTCATTTACATTGGGCTTTATTTAACCCATATCAAAATGTAACAGGATGTCAAAGTGAAAGTAAATATCGGAGACTAGAAAAGCCTCCAACTTCTTGTATAACAACAATAAATAAGGGCATTCATACAGTACTTTAATAGTACCTTTAATACCCCTAATCATTTCTAATATAATAATTGAGTATTACAGAACTGGTATACTCTGCTAACAACACTGAAATTGTTACAGATCCACATACTGTTACATAAGATCAAAATATGGCATCTGTAGTTATGCTGTATAAATACTTGTTTTTACTGACTTTAGGAGAAGTTAGCTACGAAAAGAGGAAGTTACCATACCAGTAGAAATTTCAGGGCAATAAAGAAGAATGTTCAGATTTTAGAACTGCTGTTGCTTTCTAGCTTTTGTTCAGAAAACTACGTCATAGCACTTTATCATAGACTAGAAATGTGAAATTGCACCTTTTTACAAGGCAAAACACAGAGCTGAAATAAAACACAGATCATAAGGTTTTGTTTCTACTTCCTAAGGAGATGAGAATAACTCTTTAGTTATTTTGTGGTTTCTGGTAAGATCTTTCTCAAAAAAATTCTACTATTTGCTTGCCATTTTTTAATTTACCCAAATATTTATAGAAAAATACAACTAAAATTATTTTAAAGTTTTAGTTTCTTAACAGAAAGGTTTTTTTGACATTTCTACAGTTCTTCTAAGAACAGAAACAAAATACAGTTCCAGTGAGTATTTCCACTGTTCAGGAAAGAAACCTTTTCAGAGACTGTTCCCACATATGTCTTCTCTCGCAAGACTACTCTGAAGCAACTACTTGACAAATGGGTGCATGAAATGAGGAGTATTACATGCATAGAATATTGACTGTTACACCGAACAAGCAACATCCCTGTCTAGGGGAAAGGTGTAGCCTGTGTAAACAAACCCAAGTTTAGTATTAAATTTGCATAAGTATAGGACACAACTGCGACATACTTACAGTCCTAGAAGAATGGCTTTGCAGCTTTTTCCAGTGTAAGCTACACTACTGTTAGTCCCTGGGCCAGGGCTGCGTTGGAAGACTCGCATACACCTCTACAACCTGCCACCATCCCTGCCCTGCAGTGCACACGTGCTTTAAAGCCCTTGTACAGTTAGAGGGGATCTAACTTCAGCACCATGGCAATACCAACCAACTACCAACTATATGGTCATTTTCAATTATATAACCAGCCAAGAGTACTAGAGGATTGTCTCCTGCTACGCTCTTTATAGATAATTGGAAGAATTGGAAGAAAATCCAGCATTGGAAGAAAATAAAGTTCTAAACTACATTAATGAATACTCTATCACAAGAACCAAGCACCATGTCATCCTTTAGGAATAATCATGATAAACAAACACCGTTCTTTGCAGGAGTTGACAATACACTGGATTAAGGATAATCAGCAGTAATTATTCATCTGGACTTCAGAAAAGCCTTTGATTGTCTTTTGAATGTACTTTGTCCAAGGTTAGAACAGTCAGGAGGGGACTGATCATGTTCTTTTGTGGAATAGAAAACGTCAAAGAGAATAAAACCAAATCTATTAACAGCTGTAGCTCAGTGTGGTGGGAAAAAAAAAAATCTATCATTACTTCAAGGAAATTTCTTGGAACCGGGGGAATTAACGTGTTTATTAAACTTCTGAAAGAAGACAGGAACAAAAAAGGTGATAAAACTGGTGAATGACAATCTTTTTTGTGTTAGGTCTAGAGAGGATGCTGAGGTATTTCAGAAGAACCCAATAAAACTAGAAAATTATGCAACGTTGCCAAATGTCACCCTAATCCATATTGGAAGTAATCAATGGAGTTACTCAGGAAATTGGTTCAAGTGCAGAAGTTCAGCAAAAAGCCTGACTCGATGTCGTTCTGGAAGGTTCAATATACACATCTGTTTAGTGGACAACTTTGAGCCTATCTCCACAGAAACACGAACTCCGTTTCAAAGATACAAACACACCTCCACTTGCTATGGCCTTCATCATGTTGAGGTACTGCCTGACCTCTCAGTCTCAAGACATCATATCAAGGATGTATTGCCACAGGGTCTCTGTCTTCAGGGAAATATATGTAATGGTCACCATCACACAACCCAAGCTTTTATCTATTCACAGTCCAAGCTATTTATCTTCTGAGATACAGAAAATATGCAGAGTAAAACAGCTGCCATTACAGAACTGTGAAATGCAGGAGTGCTTCTGAAGCTCTGCATCCAGCATCCCGTACCACCATCAGCCCATACTGGCCTGAAATGTGGCACATATCAGCCATCTCTGCACTCTGGTTTTCACAGTAAGGAAACCCAGATGCCTGGCTGGGGCCACTGCATTGCAGCATTTGCTTACTCCAGACAAGCAGGAGGCCAAGGCCCTAGAACACACCCCAGAGGGTATGAACAGACACCACTACAAAAGTTGATTTATGAAACCTAATGCTGCTATTGACTCCTTTGGAGTCAATAGAACAACACAAAGTAGAGTCACCACTGGCTCCAAAAGATATCACCAGTGTTATGAGATTTAACAAAACTGAGTTGTTTCATGGGCTTGATTACCATATCTGCAGCATCCAAATGCACTGACGAAGGGGTTTTTCTATTAAGTAGCTGAAAGTGCAGTGCGGGTTGTTGGAAGCAGATAAAGGTTTTAATTTTCAAAAAAGATTTTTCAATGGAAAATTGCAGGTTTGGATTGAACACAGCATTTCTCAAATTTACAATCTAATCATCGCTTCTAGTAAGTATGTTTTTCACACAAGACAATTAAACTGCATAACTCCATGCCAGTGGATGTTGTGCCTCCTATAAGTACAGATGAGTTACTTGAGAAATTAATGGCAGAAAGCACCATGAAAGACTGCTGAACACAAAGTTACAACCTCTGGCCCAGGAAGTACCACACCTTGCTGGAAGGTTACACCAAGAAAAGTATTACTATATGTTTGTTCTTTTCTTACACTCCCCTTTTAAGCATCCACTGCTGGCTATTGCTAGAGAAAGGAGCAACATGGATCAAGTGCAGCATTTCTTTACTGGGATACTTTTTTTGGAACTGAGCAAAAAAATGTTTTCTTATTCAGACATCAGCATCATCAACTAGCAGTTCATATTTTGAAAGCAACCCGAGTTCTCTGGAGAAAATGGCCCTTGTGTGTTATTTTGTCCCAGGAGTTTTGGTATCAGTTACACAAAGTATGTGAAATAAGTCAAAATGCATGCAAACAAGTGTGCGCATTCAACACGCACATACAGGTAACTAAAACTACAATGTGTTTAGTATTTAATTGATTATTGTTTTCATATTTAGGTCTTTTATTGCCATATCTACAAGTACAGAGAAACTACCAAAAAGTTTATTTTTCTGTGCAGAAATGGTATTATAAGCAAACTCATATTCTTTCACTGTTTTCAAATGCATCTCTTCAGTGATTTAGGTTTTTTGAGCATTTGAAACATTTTGCAGCTCACCTTACTTGTAACTCCCAGAAAACATTTAATACTTGGATACACAGAATTTCTCTCTGTATTCTATTGCTGGAAGACTCCTTATAAGATTATATAATAGCTCTCAATGTGTTTTTCAGTTGCTTCTTAAAAAATTAATTTCCCCTGCGTCTTCATTAAACTGCAGAGATTTATTGAAATAATTCTGAATGAATGTTGGAACATAAAAGTCTAGCCTGAATTTGGTGTACAAGCTCTGAGAATCTGAAAAACTGTTTGCAGGGGTTTAGTAACTTTAATAAATGCATTCATGATCACACACTCCTATAAAAATACATCCCTTCAGTTTCACTACAGGTTTCCTTCACACATGTCACCAAAATTCCTTAAGAATATAGTATTTTGGAAGCAAATTCAGAAATAAAGTCTATAACTGCCTCTGGGAAAAATACAGCAGTCTATCTCTGCAAACTTTTAAGCAAGTTCTCTCTAAAATAATTGCTGATAGAAATCCTTGCTCAGCATTTCTTCTTTTTAAAATATTCTTTTAAAAGTCAAACTACCCCAATAGCACAATGATTTCCACACTTTTTTCTGGCAGGTGTTGGGTTTTTTTCCCCTACACTTACTAAATTTATGAAAAAGATAAATTGCTCCTGAACATCATTCTACAGCACTAGAGAACAGTAGATGTAACAGCAGATTAGAGCCAAAAGAAGCCTCAAAATCCTACATGAGCAACCCACAATTTGTCTTCTGTTCCCATCCAAACGGCAATGATGACATACTGGGTCTGCCAGCCCTGGATGTAATACAGTAACTCTCAGTATACAAACTTGTAAACTAACAAGAACACTGAGAAATGTGAATCTTTACTGCTTCAGTGTTCTTTCATGAACAACAAATATCTTAATAACAAGTTGTGCAAATTATAAAGTCAGTGATGCTTGTAATTTATGGGAGATCAACAAATCACGGGAGGTTCAGAAAGGTTCCTGGTGTTCTGGTGGGCAGGCTGACAGCTCTCCCCCTTCCCCATCCACTTGTATCACATTTACAAACAGACCTGAGCATATTTCTACCAAAGCAGTGATGGGGAGTGGGAGGTTATTTGTGTTTGGGTTCGTGCTTGGGCTTTTGCATTTCAGACAGGAACACACACTACTCTGCAAGGACTGAACTAATTAAGTGCTAATTGACTCTCTAGCACCTATAAAGAGGTAATTCACCTATGCCATCTCCCACTGGAAGCTGCAATGATTATTAGCATAGAAAGGACTGTTTATGTAGTGGTCAGCATAAGACAGTCATAAGTGTTTATTAGTAAGAGCAGAAAGACGGAGGGCAAATAAGGATATGAGCATTTTTAATGGATGCTTAAATCTGGGTAGCTTGATCTCCTTTTGTGCTGTGGATGTTGTGTGCTGCAGTCACGCCTCTCACTGCCAGCCTGCACCGGGATGATAATCACTTGCTATGAAAACTCATTAGCTCCACAGCAATGAGCCCTCCACTGCTGAAGCTTGGTGCTGTTCTTAGTACCATGGCAATGATCTCTAACTGGATGTCCCAAACTCTCCCATCTCTGGTAGGACTAAATACCACCAGAATAACCACTTCAGATACTCTAGTAAGTAGCTGTGATGTGTTGCAAGCCATCTTAATGCTGAAGTAGTATTTAAGTGCCAGCAAAAGCTTTAGTTTGTTGCCTCTTTTTAAATCTCTTTTAAAGCTACTAATCTTCCTATCATCACTTAATGCATGCTTCTCTTTGGGCATCATAAAACTGCACATTGGTGAGCATGTTGTGGTCTTACTATGAAAAGAAAGATTTTAAAATAGCATCCTTAAATATTTAAGAACAAATGCCTTCATCTTGAGTGTGAAATACCAAAAATAGTACAGCAATGTCATTTCTTTTGTCTAGACTTTTTTCCCTTGTTTACTGTTCCAGAAAAAATGTATTGCATTATTAAGAAAAAAAAATATCTGGCAGTAGGTTTCTTTTTGTCTGAATAAGGTTATATATTAGCTATTCACTACAATATGCAAAGGTTGGGATTCTTTCCTATTTTTCTTTATCGGAGTACTGTTAAGCAAATAAATAGCTGTTAGAAACAAAATAAAATTGGTACTAAGAGGTTGAGTACCAGAATTTTAGAAAGGCTGATATAATACAAATGACAGAAATATCACTTTGTATCATTGATGCTCATACACAGCAGCCTCTGTTAATGAAGACCTACAGAAAAGCTGTGATTAACTACTCATGAGAAGCCTAAAAATTAAAGTAATACTTTAATTGGACAAGAGGGAACACTATACTGGTATTCATTAAACTAGAATACCATTTTCCTAAATGTTTAGTAAAAAACTCTTCTCTGTGTATCTTTTTGTGTAACTGCAATCAGATGTTTACATAATAGTATGTTATGTAAAATGTAAATTTAACTATTTGTACATTAGTTCACTATGCTCAGAACTTAGTTTTTTAGTTGTAACTAAAAATGATGCATTTACTAATCAACATTTAATTAATTGAATACATGCATGCAGGTAAAACATTACTGCAGAAAATCACTGCACTGAGACTTTAAATATTACTACTTTAAAATTAATTAAATGATGTTGTAAGAAAGAATTCTGTTGTGTTTTAGAGCAGCAAGAAGGTGCGAAGACAAGGAGAAGCTCTATTTTATTTTCCTTAAGTGTAACTTGTGCTCATTGAACTACAGTATATATTGGTAGTTCTTGTGGCAGTATGATATTACAAGTAATAAAATTCTCTATCACATTTAAATCCAACTTTAAAGTTGCAACTGAGTAACTACGAGATGTACACTAGTTATAACAACACACACATATCATCTCTTTATACACACACATATATATGTGTTTATATTTATTAACATATTCAGATTCCAAGTAGTGTAAACTGCCATGTTTCCTTTGGCTACAACAGAGCACTGCTGATATAAATGCTTCCTATGTATTATTTCAGTAATGCTCCTTGCACTCATTGACTTGGAATTATATACATATTTTGTGTTTCAAGAAGGGTAGTAGGCATGCCAGTAGAGCTGGCAAAACAATCATAAAAATCTGATTATCTGAGTTTGGCAACATCTGCCAAGTAAAAAAAAAAACAAAAACCACCACAAAAAAACCCACAAACTTCAATCATGTGGGGTTCTTTTATGTAAAACCAAGCACTGCAAATCTGCTCCCTTTCTCTAAACTTTAGGTGTTGGTTGAGAGACTTTATGCCCCGGGTGCTCAGTAATACTCAGCTTGTCCAGCAAACACTGCAGCGCATGCACTTCTCCAGAAGTTCTTTCCTAACACATACACAGCTCATAAATTGTGTCTATTGTGCACCAAGGGGAAAAAAAAAAAAAAAAAAAAAAAAAAAAAACCA